AATGTCCTCCCCAGTGCCACAAACACCTAAGGCTTTGCATCCCAAATTCCTGACAGTGCCCCTGCAGCTGGCACAGGATGAGTGCTGCTCATTCCATTTACTGTAACTGTCTCATTAATACTTTGTTTATATTGGTGCAACTTAATCCAGCTAATTGCCACCGTGAGCCAGCAGAACATCAAGGCCCTGGCTATAAAGGACTATTGTGCAGCACCAAACATAATCCTTCTAAAAATGTCCTGTGTTGGTACCTGCCAGTTTTCCAGGATTCCGTCTGTGTAACACACTGACACAGAGAGCTTTGCAGACCTTTGATGTCCGTGTGCAAACGTCTCCAAAGCAGGCAGAGCTTTGCACTGCTGGCTCTTTTGGGCAGCAATGGTTTGTTCCACGTGTGCTCAGCACCGAGCAGTACCAGACACGGGGGCTGGAAGCAATAGACATTCCCAGAGCAATGCTAATGGAAACCTTACGAATGGCCGTCCTCATATTGATTTATTGGGAGAAGCCATTTCCCTGGAGTTTCCCATTTAGTCTCCAGTGCAGTGTGGTTCAGGACAAGGCAAGCTCTCCTCAAAAAAGCTGAAGGTTCAGCTTTGGATGTTTTTTGAGGAGGATGGCAACTGATGCTGAGCACCTGCTGATCCAGCTCTGCCCAGTGCCATTCATTAGACCTTCCACCTGGTCTAGTGTAAGTCTCCCTGCCCAGTTCAGGGGGGTTGGAACTAGATGATCTTTAAGATCCCTCCCACCCAAACCATTCTGTGATTCTATGATTAGCCAGAGTTGTTCCTGATGGCATGAAGCAGGGACTTTGGTGATGCACAAGCTTTGCGATGGTCTGCTGTGCCAAAAAAAAAAAAAGAAACATCTCTGGATACACAAAACCATCCCACAGCAGCAGTTTATCCATCAGCTTAGGGAAAGATTCCTGTACCAACAGCAGCCCTTTGCCCAGCAGTCATCCTTCACTGCCTGCATGCACAGTGCATTCCAAAGCTGCTCCATCATTAGGGAATAAAGAACTTAATCCATAATGTGTCATCACCTTGCAAAACAGCATCATGCTTATCAAGTATCCAAATAGTCCAGCCCCTACATCACACTTTTGTCACATAGTCAAAGACCTGAAACTCAAGCTGGAAAATAATCCAGCAGTATGTCACTTTAATGTGGTTGTTAATTTACCATGCATGATTTGTGGGTGAGGAAACTGAGGCATGGAGGGGGAGCAATGCGCTTGGAACCTGCAGATCCTGCAGCCTCATCAGGCCAGGGGGGAGAGCCTTGCTGCTCCATCCCCTGATCCCACACAGCTCCTGGGCAGCCCTGCACTCCACTCTGCCCTGGTTCCCAGGGCCTGGCTCTGGCTCCCCTGCAGCTCAGCTCCTGACTGGGACCAAGGGGAGCTGTAAGAATTAATCAAACTCTCCACCTCCTGCTAATCCCCTGCTCTGCCAGCAAGTACACCACCAGTATTTAAGCAACTAAAACTCTGCCTAATTTTTTGAGTTCCTGGATGTCTGCATTGAGTCCGGAGACATCTGAGGTTTCTCAGAACTGCTGAAAATCAGGGCATTGCTCTAGAATTAGTATTTATGTCTCTTTATAGAATCTTAAATGAAGAGAATAGCAGAAGCCCACAATATCCTACCTGAGCTGCAGCTGAGATGAAGGTGGTGGTACAGTCAAGACACTGCAGTGGGTTACAGGAGATCCTGCAGAAATGACTTAATTTCTGTGTGCCCTATTTCCACATCTGTGAAATGGGGATAACAAGACATCATGTTGTGAGGTGCTGAGCCACGAAGAGTTATTATGGGAGCTGCAGAAGTTGCTATAAATACCTGAAGAACGAGGGCATTCGGTGTTACACTAATAGAATACAAAGTCTATAAAAGCCTTTGCATTTTAGAGATGAAGGTTTGAGATAACTACAGGAAGCTTAAAAAAATCCTCCCAGAGCTTCATCCACGGGCACTGATGTTCCCCTGCAGAGAGGGGTGGTGGGAAGGCAGAGTTTATTCTTTGCAGGGATGGGGATCTAAGAGCCTTCAGGCTGGTGACTGCTTGAACTTCACTTGCACTAGAAAAAGGTTGTAGCTTCAAAAGTGAGCAGCAGGGCTTTGGAGCTCACTTTCAAGTTCAAATTAGGGCAGATTTGGAGACCACAGACATTTTACCACTGTTGGGCTGGTCTCTTGGCTTTCTCATGAAGTAAGGTTATGTCAAGTCCTCTTCACATCACCCAAATGTACAAAAAAAGCTTTAGAAGAAATCCATCCCAGGCTTCCCACAGCAGTTCTAGCCCTTTCCTAAATTAAAAAGGTCTCCAATTCCTGCATAGCTGTGACCTCCTACTCCTCGGACTTACAGAGACTCTCCTACTAGATCCAGCAGATGTAGACAAAACAAATGGGTGAATTCTAAGGAGAGGGGAGGAGAAAGACCTGCCCCAGCACAGGTGGTGCAGCAAGGCTTGTCTGGAATCACAAACCTCCCTTTAGGTTATAGAGCCTGTTTCTGTGGGCAGCCACAGCTGGCAAGTCTGTGCAGCACAGCCCGAGCGGGAGGCAGGAGTAAGCAGGCTCAGGCAGGGGCACAGCTCCACCTGGTTGTACCTCCACCCCAGGGGGTGGTCAGCAGCCTCTCCAGCTCAGAAGCCCCCAGTATTTCCCCTAAGGGGCTGCAGTAGGTTGGCTTTCCTGAGTAACCCTTCCCAGACCTTTGGAAGGATGCCTCTGCACTTGCAGCAAGTGAAAAATGTCTCCAGAGGAATCTCAAGACTCCTGCAGAACTGAGGATCAGAGGGATTTGGAAAGGCTAATCCCCTTCCTCCTCCACAGCTATCACCCCTGTGCAGGTTAATTTAGCAAAAAGGCAGCAAAGGAGCTTCCCATTGAGGGTTTTTCCCCCATGCTGCGCTGGTGGCTGTGATGAGAGACAAAGAAAGTACAGGGGAAAGCTGTCCCCATCTCACCACTGTTACCATCATCCCTCCTGTATGTGATATTGGCAGCCAAAGGGAGGTGCCTCAGGCAGAAAAATACCGTGAAAAGTATTTTGCTACCCCCAACCTTGTCAAACAATATTTGTTCCTGGTGAGATGTTTAATTTCTCCAATTCAGCTGTTTTCCCAACAAATGGATCTACACCGTTCACTGGTTGCTTCTGCAGGTTAAAAATTGACTGAACACACTGATTTCATGAGCCCTCTGGAGCTCCAGCAGCTTCATCAAAGCCGCAATCAAATGTACTTATTGAGCACTATATGTGAGAGAGATTAAGATGAATTGTGAGTCTCTCCCTGTTAATTGCAGGGTCTACCTGACCATCCTGCATGTGCCAGTCAGTGGGGAAGGAGAAATGAATTTACTCCTAGAGCAGCCATGGTTAAAATGTGCTGGACAAGGTCAATTTGAAGTGCTACTCGAGCAGAGTAGCTCCCATTCACATGGGAAATGTTCAGTAGAAGGGGATGAGAACTCAGCTGGAGCCACTGGAAAAATATGTGAAAGATTCCTGTTTAATTCCTCTGGGCTTAATTCTTATTAATTTGAATATATTACTACATAAAGGATAATTTAACTGTAATATTGTTTAATTAATCATGATAGAATGGTTTAGGCTAGAAAGGACCTTAGAGCCCATCTTATTCCAATCCCTCTGCCACACTTTCTTCTAGACCAGGCTGCTCCAACCTGGCCTTGAACACTCCCAGGGATGGGACATCCACAGCTTCTCTGGGAAATCTCTTCCAGCACCTTACCACCCTCACAGGGAAGAATTTCTTCTAGTAGTCAATTAATGCTCATTAAGGTGAAGAGGTGAACTCAAAACTGATAAAGTACGCTGTAAGATCTGCTGGAAGAAATCCTGTATGCTCATAAATTAGCAACAACCAAGGAGAGCCCTAAGTCCTGTGTGGGTAAATATAACTGCATATCCAGAGCCCCAGCCTGGGAAAAGATCAAGTTTTGAGCCAGTCCCTCTAAGTATTAGACTAACATATTTGGGGGGAGCAAATACTCCTGGGGAACAGGCTTTTGTGCACATGCCCACCACCACAGCTCCTGGCTGCTCTCTGCAGCCTCCGAGTCAGGGAGAGCCTGAGCCTGCTGGAGACAGGGTAAGGAGCCAGCTGGACCCCAGCATGGTGCAGTCTGAGACCTTTCCCACTTGACAGAAGCCAATCTCTGTCACACGCCTACGGTTAGGGAAGAACCAGCTTTTAGAGATTTTGACTGCAGAGCTCAGTTACAGCAGAAAAAACTGACCTCAGAAAGAGTCCCAGCTTCTCTCCTGCACTTGGGGAGAATTCAAGGCAGAGAGGATGCAAGGGGCAGCCTCACATTCTGAGATGGAGCGAATGAAGAATTTGGATCTGAAAGCCTCCAGACTCTGGGGGAGTTCAGGTCCAAATCTGTACTTTCCAACTTCACACTTCTCCCTTGTTGTGGTATCTCGTTTCACTTGGCTCTCTGGCCGTGTTTTTCAAGAAGCAGCCGTGGAAACCTATTGGTTTCAGTCCTGTCTAATATTCTGGGAAACAGTTCAGAAAGCTGGAATTTGACCAAGACTCATGTCTAAGCTCCACTGGGCCTTTCAAGCACCACTGTTAGCATTCTAATAATAATAATAGAGTTTCACATGGCAGAGCCCTGGATCCAAATCTCACCCTTAAAGAGCTGCTTATCACAATGAGGCAATGCATGGTGCAGATCTCTTTGAGGCACCCATCCTCTAAAGAGGCATCCATTTCCACCCATTTACAGAAACTGCCAGTTTATTGTTACAAACCCAAAGCAGAACCAGTCACATCTGATGGCAGCAGTTCCAGTGGAAACACTGCTCAAAACCTGTGTGGGGCTCAGGGTGACTTTGATGCCACTCCAGCTTCTCCTGGCCCCCCAGTGTCATACCCAGCCTTTCCTCATGCACCTTAAGCAAATCCAGCATCACTATCCAAAATCCTAAAACAATTTTATTTAAATTTCTAGACTTCCAGCACATGCATGTTTCCTGTTATTTCATCAAAGACTTGGATTTCTTTTTGGTGACATAATTTGTCAACACATGCAGTTCGTAACAGAAAAAAGGTTGATCAAAGAATAGCAGGTAAGTCTTATTTACTGCCTGATAATGAGCTAAATTGCTGCTATAGCTTTGTATTAGCAAGCTCCACATTTAGGGCTTTTATCAGCGTTTCAGCTGCAACACATTCTTCAACTTTGGACAGACAATTTAAGAATCAGAACAGAGGGTTTTTTTCCCCTCTGTCAGAGCTCAGTGCTAATGTTAGGATGCAGAAGACTGTAACTTACATCCAGTGATTAATCCAGACAAAATACTGGATGTCACCAGGTGCAGAAAGATGGGAGCAAGGCTCAGCTGACTAACCAGAGATAAGAGTGCAGGTCTGCAGTGCTCACAGAGAAAGCCTCTACTTGGGAGGGGAGCAAAGGCAGCAGAAATGGTTCAAAGTACAAAAGCAAGCTGTGGGCAGCAGTAACTGTCATAATTTAGATTCAACTTCAGTTTGGGATAAACCCTCAGTTATTTGGATTGATTAGTTCAATTACCCAACAGAATAAAGTACATTGTTTTCATATCATGTAGCCTTCTTTGGGAAAATGTCAGACCTTCGAAGATGGCTTCACAGATGTTACTGACTGCCTCCCTTCCTGGTAATGCCAACATCCCTGGGTTTCAGTCCTGGGTGGGATGCCAGGGGGTCAAGCAACATCTTCCAACATCTTCCAGACTGACAACCTAGACATACAGTACCCGTGTTTTTAATCATTCATATCACCTATAAATATAATTTTTATCTTTTTTAAAGTTCATAATACTTCAGGAGTACAGGGCTCTGGGAGCATGTGGTGATCCTGTGTTAGCTGGAGTCTGTGGGTCCATCTGAACACTCCACATCCCTTTTAACTTCCCATTGCCCTCCTGCACCCAAAAAAGGGCATGTTATACCCCACACTGCAGTAGTACGCCTAATCCACCTATGCCCAAAAATAAAACTTTCATTATCAGCTAGAAGGTGGCCCTGGACAACATCATCTCCCCAGCACAAGCCCTGTAGTCCTGGGGAAGGGTAATATTTTACTGACTTTTTCAGCCTCTGCCACGAGTCAATTCACTAAACTTAACTTTAAACGAAGAGATTTAAGGTTTAAAAATGCTTCTAGGGATGGAAGGCAGGAGCCCAGCCTGGTAACACACCCAGCAAAGCCCTCAGTGCCTGAGCAAGGGGAGCAGAGCAGACCCACAGGTCACAGCCAGGCTCAGCCAAAAGCCCACATCTTCAGACAGGTTGTGGAGATGGGGCAGCTCAAAGGACACACCACAGGTCCAGATGAGATCCAGTGAAGGCGATCCAGGTCAGACACCATCCAGCAACATGGCAGAAGGTCCATAACCTGAGCCTAAAGGGAGGGGATGGACAGCCAGCACAGCCTGTGGCTGGGCTGGAGCCCAGCACCTCCCTGACACAGCCCAGGGACAGAGGGAGGGTCCTGGGCTGAGCTGGAATGGGCTCCTGGGCAGAGGGTGAGGGCTGTCCCCAGCTGCTCCAGGGCACTGATGTCTGTTAGTGCCCACACCTGATGTGACAACATTCACTTCCCTCAGAAGTGAAGAATGTGTGACAACATCTATACTTTGCATGTGACAATACCCAAACCTGCATCTGTACTTCAGAGGTTACGAAACCCAGCCTGGGCAGGGTTAGCAGTGTGTTGTAAGACTCTGCTTCTGGTTTTCTGTATGAGCTGTAAATAATGCCCAGCAGTCAAGGTATCGTGAAGGAAACACACGGTCAGAGAAGGCCAGCTCCTTGTTTATGGCTACATCAAAGGCAAAGCTGCTCCCTTTAAAGGCAGACAGGAGACTTTTTTCTGGAGAAATCCACACCCTGACTCCCAGGCATATGCACAAGGGAGGGTTTTCAACTTGTGACTTAAGTGACTTGAAACAAATCAGATGTTGAACCATATGGGCTTGGGGCTTTTTGAGATTGTAAACTTTTTTTCATTACAGATAGAGGTAATGATGAGGCAGCTGTGTGCTCCAGAGCTGCAGGCCAAGAGGGACGAGGACAGACAGGTGGAGTGGGATGGAGCGTGATGCCATAAAAACATATAGGGAGATAAAATTGCAAAAGGTGATTGCATGCTGCTGGGTCTGCACGACAGCAGGACATCACATAAAGGCTGAAGGGCAAAGTCTGCTCCCTTGAGAGGCACAGGGCTGGCTGAGCAGCAGTCTGAGGGCAATACCTGGGCTCTGCAGAAGACAACAAACCCCTCCTGCCCTTGGCTTCAGTTCAGCTGGGCAGTCCAGAGAGGTTAGAGGACTCAGACCACACATTTTGCCTGGTGCAAGTGCCCATTACTCACTCCTTACAGCTCCAGAGGGCCGTATTTTGGCTTGTAAGCTGTGCACTTGTCATTTATCTTTCTGCTTACTGCTGACTCTTCCTACTGTGCTCATCTTTGCTTCCCCTACACTATTGCATTGTGCTTATTTCAAAAACAAAACCATTGTTCATTCTCTATAGTCTCACCCTGTTCCATTCCCTATTTCCAGTGGTCTCCATTAGGTAAGTTTGTAACAGAGAGGTTGAGAACAGCAGACTTACAGAAAAAAAAAAGAAAAAACAAAACAAAAATCAAAACAAAACCAAGTAAACAAGCAAACAAACAAAACACCACAGACAAACAAAAACCCAACCCCTCCCGCAAACAACAACAAAAAGCAACAACCAAACACCCACACCAGAAAGAAAAGAGAAAATAGGGTGTCTGTGTCTCCTTATCTAAGGTGAGCCTGCAATGGGAAGACATCTCATTCCTCACATCTTTCCTTGTGTTCATGGGTTGCTCAGATGCAAACAACTTGTCACCTAAGAGGGGTGTGAGCCCTCATAAGAGTTCTTGAGAGACGGGGGGGAAGTTTCTCCTGACACCCTTCACAAATTGTAATCTTTATCCTCTGTTTCATACATTATATTGAATTGTCAAACTTTAAAGGGTCTTTTAAATTGGTTAATATTAGATTTTAATTTTCCTCTAGATTATTCTTAAAATAAATTATATAAGAAAGGGAAATTCTGCAAGGGACAAAAAGCAGAACACCATCAGTGTGTCAAAAACCTTACTGAGGTCATTATATTTGATATCTCTTCTTTTTCTTCTATCCCCATGGCCTTTTACTCTTTAAAATTAAATTAGAGCACTGTGACATGACTTGTGCTTGGCAATCTGTATTGGATGTTGCTCATCTTATTTTCCAGGTATGTGTCTATTTGCTCCAGCATTTTTCCAGATTTTAAGAGTAAGCTGACTGTTGTACAATCCTCCTGTTCTTTTTTCTCTCACCTCTCCCACCTTTTAAAGGTAGGCAATACATCAGCCCACCCAGGAATTCAGAGATACCATTAATAGTTCTGAGATTACAGTTTTTCAAGGACTGCAGGATTAAGTCAGGCCCAGCCAATTTCAAAATCTCTAATTTATCTAAGTATTCTTTAACCTAATTTTACCCTAATCTGTGCTGAATTTTCTTAGTATTAATTTAGTAAACTTTTATTCACTATTTACTTTCTACTGAATATTGTGAAATAGGCATTAGTTCATAGAATCATAGAAGCATAGAATCACAGAATGGGTTGGAATGGACCTTAAGAATCATTTAGTCCAAACCCCTCAGGAGGACAAATCTTTCATTTGCTTTTCCTCACATTATTAATGGGCTTAAGGACTATTTCTTGTTGACCTGATGTCTCTTTCTGGCTGCATTTGGTTTTCTACCTTTTTCATTTGAATTTTCCCTTATGTATTTGAGCTAATCCTTTATGATAATTATCAGTAATCTTAAAATTATAGTTCTAGCTTCTGATGTTGATAAAGTATTTATGATTTAGTAAATAAATAACATTCCTTGTGCTCTCTCTAGGATAGTACATTTCTGCCTTTTCTCTCCAATGAAAATCTGTCCATTCTCTGATTTTACTGAAGTTCGAATATTAGGTTTTTGCATGGGTTTTTTTGGTTATAGTTGGTTGGTTGGAGTTTATTTTGTGCGTGTTTTGTTTTGTTATCAGCTTCTTTTACAGCAGACAGCTCATGACAGTGGCCATGGGAGTCAGAACTCTCCTGGCAGTGCCACCCAAAGAGCTGAGGGTTTATGGCCTTGCTGTGGGGCTTGTGAAGCTGCAGGGACAGGCACAAGTGGCCACACAGAACTGGGCACTGCTCTGCTGCTGGAAGAGCCTGTGCCACCAGATAAGGGTCTTCAGACTGTGCTATCTGCCTAACCAGTACGACTTGTATAACGTGCTCACGTTGCCAGAAGTCAGTCTGAATTTGCAACTCCCTGGCTATTCATCATTTTTTCCAAGGGTCATGAGGAAGATATCGTTGAGCTGGCAGTGCTGAGCCTAGGATGCATCAGGGAGTTCCCTATACCAGGAACTCAGCTATAAGTCTGCTTTAGACATCTGGAGCAATGGAAATGGCCTTAATTGAGGTTATAAACTAGCTCATGATGACATTTCCTGCCAGATCTGTGTATCATAGAGGGTATGCATGCACTGAAAAGTCTTAAATCATTTCTGAGCTGGAACAGAAAATCAATCTATTTAAATATGTTGTTAAGAGTAAAAGGTTCATTGAAACCTGCCTTATACTTACAGCAGCAGAGACTCAATGGTGTGTATAGAAATATCCTTCACAAAGTTTCATCCCATACGTTTTGTTTGAGATGCTTCTGGGGCAAGTTGAGAGTGGCCAGTTCCCCTCACTGCTTCATTTTCTAGACTTATATCAGCAGCAGGTTTCAGTCAGGCTGAAGATCAAAGGCTTTGATCTCCAGTCATCTCAGCATAACTAAAAGGAAGCCACATCTGGAGAATTTATCTAATTCTGCAAGCTATAAATACGTATGGTTTTGGTACTATGCAGTTAATCAAAAGGCTGAAAGAAAATACATGTGCCAACCTGCAAAGGCTGGATTGTACTGTAGGAACTGATGAAATACCTTCTGATGCCTATTTCTGTGTCTAAGTAAACCCACTCAGTGGTTTAGAATTTTGTTATGGTGAA